CGATCAGGACCACTGGTACCGCCCTCGTCTGTTAAGGCGCGGGGCACAGCTACGTCCTTCTTGTAACAGCTGAAAGCCTCTAAGCTGGAATAAGTACTTAACAATACCAATGTGTGAAGACGACTCACGCGGGGACGGGGGCTGTACGGCATGAGCTTATTGCGAGTGCTTCAGGCCGCCCGATCCTCAACTTTTTTATTTATTTGGGTTTATATGATAATATAAGAAATTATTTAGCTGTTCTCTTGCTCCTATAAATTCGTTCTCGCTAATTTCACTTAAATATAGTAGTGTGAAATATAAAAAATTATTGGTTCTTTAATATTTTAAACTATTTTAAAGGAGTATCTTATGTGTGACTCTTTACAGACTGATACTCCAACTTGTAGAATATGTTATGGTGAAAATGAACCTCAAAATGCTCTTATTAGCCCATGTCTTTGTAAAGGTTCTGTCAAGTTTATTCATGAAAAGTGTTTGAGATTTTGGAGACTTCATGGTAAAGAAACTAAACAATTCAACGTTTGTGAACAATGCAAATCAGAATATACAGTAACAACAGATTACAACCTAAAAAACTGGATTATTCATACAATAACATCAACACTCTTACTACTTGCATATACATCATCTCTATGCATATTCAGACTCCTCTATCACATCTATTCTGCTGTGATCGAAGATTTGGCTTCAATACAAGGTGATATCACCCAGAAACTATATCACTCAGCATGTGTCCTCATATTCTTCACCCTCTACTCACTATACTCAAATGGTCCACTTCTAGGCATATTCAACTACATATTCACATTCTGGAGAATCATACAGTATAACTTCACTATAGATAAGGTCATATTCATCTGCTTCACAATATTCTACCTCAAAAGCCTCTACAGAGAAATCAAAATACAAGTACAAGCTCATGCTTTCTACCTTATGAACAAAATACTTTATTGATTCTGTTGTGTTCGAAGAAAGTAAACATTATTAGTTAAGGGTTTATTTAAAATTTTCCTTATGCCAACAGATTCAAAAAATACAATTTTTACCCTATTATACAATGAATACCAATTCAAGAATCAAAATATTCATATTGCGATCTATAGATTCAATAATCTGCTGTAAATCATTCTATCCGATACATAGGTTGTTTACGTGGCTCTATACAAGGTATTTGAGTTTGTTTCATGGCATTAAAATTAAGAAAACAACTGTTTTCCAGGAAGTTGATAGTAAGGCATTAGATGATGCAACACTCTACAGAAAGAATGCTGTTGCCTTTAAGGGATTGGATGTTGCATTCATATGCGATGGAAATAGAAGATGGGCCAAAAGACGTAACATAACTGATAAAAAAGCAAAAATAGATCATGGTCTCTATAAAATAGAAGAAATATCTCAGCATGCGTACATTCATGGATTCAGATCAGTCTCATTCTTTGTTTTTGCAATCAAGAACTTTGCAAGAAATAACGATGAAGTAGACTCAATCAAAAACTACACCTGTTCAGCTGAATTCAAGGGGTATCCATTCAAGATTCGTATCTATGGCAATTTATCACTATTCAAATCAAATCAGGTTGCTGAAAAGCTCCTTGAATTAGAAGAGAAGACCAAGAACAATTCAGATGAATTCACAATTAACTTCTTCATAGCCTACAACAGCATAGAATGCGACAAATATACAGAAGAAAACAGACTCTTCTTCAACAAAAACGTAGATATTCTGTTCAGAACATCAGGTGAAAGAAGACTCAGTGATTTTATGCTTCGTCAAATAGCCTCAGGAACGACTTTCACAACGATTTCATCTCTATGGCCTGATTTCACAATTTCACAGCTGCTTTTGAGTTTACTTTGCTATAGACTCGAAAGAAGATGGTTCAAGTAAGAAACAGCCTGCATACCGTATAAATTAGAATGCGTTTAGGAATAATGGTAGGTGTTTGTCATCCTCAGGTGCACTTTTTTGTATTTCTAATTGTGTTTGACGATTCTTCTCTTTTTTGAGATCTTCTTCCAATTCTCGTATTTTGTTTCGGATTGCTGCAAGATTCTTCTCAGTTCTGTTCGCCATTTTCTCAAATTCCTGATACTTCTTCATATTCGCTTCTTTCTTGTTTTCTATCTCTAATTCCCTTTCACTGTATCCAGATGTTCTCTTAGTCAGCATTTCAACCTGATCAAAATAATTCTGTAATGCATCTTTCTGCCTATTCAGCTTCTTATACAAATCAGCTATCTCATTCTGTGTCATTCTTATCTTAGATCTGATATCGTTGATTGTATCACCATTACCTTCTCCATTCTGATCTACCATATCCTTCTCATTATTCAATTTTGATATTATCATATCTACGTTCTCCATAATTGTGTGATATTTTGTACTTTTCTGTTCTAGGTCTCGTTCAGCCTTCTTAAGCCGTCTCAAGTCTCCTGATAGTTCCTTGTTCTGAAATAAACTCTCATGTAACTTCACATTCAGATAGTTTGCTCGTGCTACTTCAGCATCTCTGGCCTTCTCATTATGTTCCTTTGCGAAAATATCTTTTAGGAAATTGGCTTTTTCTCTAGCCTGATTAATAACATTACGTTTTGCATTCTTTGATGGAACCTGGAACTTTGGGTTTGATCCAAGCTTCTTCGTCTTCCACGATGGTGGTTTCATCTCTGAAGAAGAACTATTACTGCTTGATTCTTCCTTCTTTTTTGGTTTCTTCTTGTTTTTCTTCTTTTCGTCTGGTTTGTGTTTAGTAGCTGGTTTCCTACTGCTATTACGTGGTTTGTTGAAATGGAAGACCGATCCCTGTTCATTTGACTTGAAATTGGAATTCTCAGGTGTAGGCATGAATTTTGATTCTTGACCAGGTGGCCTCTCTGGTAACTTGATCATAGGAAGAATGCTCGAGGAAGGTGTCGGTGGAGTCGTGTTTGGGTTTCCTTGGGTCGCCATAGGCAAACTTGATGGTTTCGGAAGAATTTTTACATTATCATGTAACTTCTCTTTCATGACTTTCTCCATGCTGCTAAGTTGCTGTTGGTTGAGACCTAGATCATCGATGAGCGTTATCTGTGCATACAGTCTACTAATGAACAGAATCATTGACATTTAGAATTCGTTTCATTGATTAAAATATTTTGTTTCATAAGTTTATTTTGGTTATTGAAACGCTTTTACCCTATTATTAATAGTATTCTACCAAGTGACAGTTGTTTCTTACGCTTTGTATGTTTATTTCTGATATTTTGGTGATATTTCTGAATTCAGGCACTTTTTGGACCCATGCGTAAAAGTGAATACGAAGAACTCAAACAGTTGTTCAATAAACATGGCCAACGAATCAGAAGAGTTGATAGATCCCAAAGCAGCATCTCATCCCAGACAAGAAACACCTTTTCAAACAATAAGATTCTTCTATCACTGGAAGATTATACGGACATGTTTGGTACAGCTGAACCAGAAACACAGGGGAACAAAGCAATGAGTTCAAAGGCATTAGATGACATTACAGCAGCAGGTGGATACAATCAACTTCAGATCATCAAGGTATGTTCTGGTTCATTGAAACAGTTTAATCAGAATTATAATACAATAATCATACAAAAGAGAAAATTAGCAGCAGTTTGTTCTAGAGAACTAAAAAGAAGCTTATCCAAGACAAGCAAAACAAATCCAATGCTAAAGAGCAAGAGAATCAATAAGGAATTGGCACAATTTGACAGGAAGAGTAAACGAACCACTGAGACACTGCTTAAATTGGAAGAAAGGCAGGCACAAGCAGAAAAAAGAAGATTGGAGGAAATTGAGGAAGAAAATAGGCAAAAAAGAAAATTCACGTATTTGTTGAATCAAACGGAGGCATTTGCAGGATATTTCTTAAACAGAAAGACAAGTAATGCAGATCTAGAGGGAATCAAGGCAGCCAAAAGACAAATGGAGACCACAAAAGAGTTTGATTCAGCCAAAAAGCAAAAGAAGGAGAATGTGACAGTTGAGGAAGATGCTGAGGATGCCAAGGCGTATGTTCACGTCAATGTAGAGCAGCCAAAACTGTTGAAGGCAACATTGAAAGACTATCAGCTTAAAGGACTCAATTGGCTTGTGAATCTGTACAATCAGAGCATAAATGGCATTCTGGCAGATGACATGGGCCTGGGTAAAACAGTACAGAGTATTGCTCTACTGGCGTATCTATATGAATCCAAGGGTATTGCTGGTCCATTTCTAGTCATATCTCCCACCACTCTGCTTCACAATTGGGCTGATGAATTTAACAACTTTCTTCCTGATTTCAAGATTGTTGAATATTGGGGATCAATACAAGAAAGAAAAGATCAAAGAAAGAAGATCAAGAACTGCAATGTGATCATCACCAGCTACCAACTAGCACTTGCTGATGAGAGCTATTTGAAGAAGATCAGGTTTCAGTACATGATATTGGACGAGGCACAGGCAATTAAGAACAATACGTCTCTCAGGTGGAAATCACTACTGAATTTCAAAACCAGAAACAGACTACTTCTCACTGGAACACCAATTCAGAACACAATGACTGAGTTGTGGGCATTGCTCCATTTTATAATGCCAACACTATTTGATTCAGTTACTGAATTCTCAGAATGGTTTTCAAAGGAGATTGAAAGCAAGAAAATTGATGAGGAGCAAATCAGCAGACTTCATACAATTCTAAAGCCATTCATGTTGAGAAGGCATAAGAATGATGTGAAGGATGAATTAGGAAAGAAGGAGATCATGATTGTATACTGTGATCTATCAATCAGGCAACAAATTCTTTATGATGAAATCATAAACAGTAGAATGGATTATGAGAATATCATGATGCACCTAAAGAAGGTCTGCAATCATCCAGATTTATTCGAGAAGCTGGAGCCGCATTCTGGGCTTGTTTTTGGGCTTCAGAATGCAAATGGATATGTTGAAAGAAGAACAGTTGATAAAGAGATTCTACCAAACTTCCTGGTGATTGAGGAGACCCAACAAAGCAAGGCTGATGAAATTAGATCATATTTCAGAACTAAGAAAGACATTCAGAAGGAGGTGGAAGAGAAGTTGTTTGCAAAGAGGCTTCTTGATTCAATGAAATCGAATAAGGTGATGAATGAGATCACAACAGAAATAGACCAAAAAAGGCGATTCAGTGAGATGCTAGCCAACAGATTCGTATTTCGAACAGAAAAGTGCCATTTGGACTTCTTCTCTAACACAATTGATTTGGATAGAAAGACAAATGGACTCCTATCTGAAACACATGGCACTCAAATCAATGCAAATGATATCATCAAAACACACCCATTGAACACGTTCATCAATGATTCAGGCAAGTTGAAAGTTCTAAATGATCTGCTAGCTAAGCTGAAGAAGGACGGTCACCGTCTTCTGGTTTATTTCCAGATGACTCGAATGATGGATCTGTTTGAGGAGTTTCTGGTAGAAAAACAGTACAGCTTCTTACGCCTTGATGGATCATCAAAAATTTCCCAAAGGAAGACAACCGTAAAAGAGTGGCAGACGAATAACAGCCATTTCGTATTCATTCTGAGTACAAGAGCAGGTGGAGTTGGACTGAATCTGACTGCGGCAGACACAGTTATCTTCTACGACAGTGATTGGAATCCAACTGTAGATCAACAGGCTATGGATCGAGTTCATAGACTTGGTCAGACTAAAGATGTTACAATATACAGGTTGATTACACGGAATACGATAGAGGAGAGAATCATGGAGATGGCAGACAAGAAGGGTGAGATGCAGAAGCTTGTGATAAAGGAGGATGTGTTCAGAGGATGATAAAGACTAGTGAAGTGATAAATGTGACGCATTTAGTGTCTTATAAAAAGTTTACCCATGGATTTGACAGCAAGGTATAAAAGAAAACGGGAATTAGTACCCATCGTATGAGTCAATAATACAGCAACAACAAGTATACACGCCAGAAGAACGGTACAGGTGCCAACAGGCCGATGAGATTGAATAAAGTCTTATCATTTTTGCCTGATTACCTCAAAATGTGCTTTAGGCAGAAAAACCTGAATTTTTAGCCCCAATGAATTTCATTTTTAGCAACATGCAGAAAATTGTAGAAAACAGGGATTTGAGTGATTCTGAGAAGATTAGTCAGATTCTGGACGTAGGTCAGCGCGTAGTCAGTGGAAGCACGCTTCGATTTGTGCTAAGCAAGGTGGATACTGTGGATAAAAAGACAAGGATAAAAATAGCTGAATTTGTAGCCATTCAGGAAATATATGATTTATGCGCATGTGATGATGTATTACATTATGCACATAGACTATTTGAAGATGAGTCACTCACCTACAAATATCTGGGATTGAAAATGTGTAGGGTTCTATTCAAAACGGAATACAAAATTGATGAACAGACAGGTGTTGATGCGCATCTAAGCAAGTTGTGCTGGTTTATTGTCAATCTGCCACATGCACAACAAGTTGGTGGAGAAGCAGTTCAAAATGGGAATGTCACGAACCAACTGACACTTGAGGAATCAAACAGCGCCTTCAAACTCAAAAACAGGCTGTTTGGTGAGGAGGAGTTGAAACTGAGTGAAGAGAGCTCCTGGCTGGCAGAAAGAGACGATAAGTTCGCCAAGGCCTTCAAATGCAAAAAGAAGGTTGACAATCTGCTGTTTATGTGCAGTAGTCTTGCATTAGAGTATTTATGTGACTTTCTGGTGAAATGGGGTGTTGGATTACAGGTGTTTTCAGACACACTTGTGAAGGTGACAGCACAGTATTTCACGAGTGACCTGAAGCACATGGAGTCGTGTGAGTGTCTGATTGACTTCTGTGTGAGCGCAGTGGCATTTCTGTCACTGGCCAAGGCACCAGCATCCAGCAGCTTCATCAACCTGTCTTTTGTGAAGCTCGATGCGAGTGACTACAGAAACAAGAAGAAGCTGCTTTACATTCTCAAGCACACGTCAACTCCACTTACGAAGACGATTCTAACGAACGAGGATCTGTTGAATTCCCTCATGAACCTGTTTCACGAAGACGAGTTGAAGGCGATGCTTCTGGACGTGATGCTGATGTCAAAGATACCTGAGGCTGTTTTAGACAAGAAGCTGGTTAGCATCTACTCAAATCTGGATTCTGATAACACAGGCGTAGAACTATTGGACAAGCTGGCTGAAGGACACATCTATCTGCTCAATTTCACACCATCGTACGTCAGAATACAGTATAGTATGAATATGTGCATCAAACTCATTGACTATGCACATAACAGTAGAAAATGCACCAAATCAATCGGAATCTACAAACTAATTCAGACGATCATTGGTTTCGTGATCCACACGAAGATGCTCATTGGGCCAGAAGAAAAGAGCATTCTGGTCGAATTCATGTTGGCCCCAATCAAGCTCAATAATCCAGTTAAGGACTTCTACGTGATATTCACTCACCTGAAAAGTGTAGATCAGCAATTCATCATCAAAAGTGTCTCTGAGATTGTGCTACTGAAATACATAGAGAGAATGGAGACATGGGCTGATTTATTGGACGTAGACATGTATTCCATGATATTCTGCCTGACTGCAAATCGCCTTCTTCTGAATGACCTCTGTTTCTGCCACTACAATCACATGAGGATGTTTCCATTGACATACCGATTCTTCAGCACCGACAAGAAGTACTACACTTCGATGTTCCAGCACTTCTTCCCTAAGATCATCAATCTGCTGCTCCATTACAGAAACAGTGATCTGGTTGACTGTGAAGACGCCCTGATGAGTCAGAGACTCATTTACGGCTACCTTGAGAAGATGTTTCTATCAATCACCACAAACAGCTACACGGGATATTACGTCGTATTCAACAACTTCAACACATTTGTGGATGAGATGTACTCGCTGTATACGCTCACGAATGACATGTTCTACCTGAAGACACTCTTCAATATCCCAATTTCACTAGGGCTGCTTGTATCAAAATGTGCTCTGATCAGGAAGCCAATGGAACAGGGAATCAGACTGGCTTGCAGTGACTTCGTTCTGACGTATCTCGATTATTTGATTGAGTTTGATGCCGAAGGAGAATACGTTGATCTCCTTGATAACGTGCTCATTCTGATGAAACATACGAGAGATCCCAAGATACTGAACATCTGCAACAAGTTCACCACAATTCATCGGATCAACTACAATGCCAGGAGATATGGTCCACAGGGAGATGCGTACACGAATGATGTTCTGATTGGCCTCGATTACAACCTGATCGTACGAAATGAGAATAACGAAATAGAGCTGAATTTCATAAAACAGGCCAAGACGAATGTGTCAGATAGCACACTCGAAGAGCTGTTTAAAGAGAGTAGCAATCTGAGTGATAGAGCAACAAGAAGAATCACCAAAGAGAACATCATTTACAAACTGGTTGCAAATGAGAGAGACGCCTTGTTGAAGAGACTTGTGGTAGAAAACAACAGTGGATTTGAGCAATGGGAGAATCACAGGTCACTTGTGAATGTGATCCATTTTGCATTGATCTACAAATACGATCAGGGACTCAGGTGGCTTGATTATGTCGATGTTCCAGTTGTAGTAGACAACCTGATCAGCTCAATCTACAGCAGAAATGATCTGATTTCTCATAGATCAATTCAAATTCTCTGTAGATTCGATAGGGAAATTGGATCAAAACAAATGTTGGATTTGACGATGGCACTGAAATTCAAGTTGAATTTGCATCTGAAAAATAGGATATTTTATGCAATAAGAAATCTGGTGGCAAAGATGTTTGGATGTATCGAATACAAGCGAATATTCATGAAGGTGTTCGACCAGGACTGCTACAGGTGCAACAACCCGTATTTGAAGTCGATCTACTTGTATTTTGAGTACAAGTATAATTTAGGTCCAACAGTTGACATTGTGAAGGAGTTGGACTCAGAATTCCTGCTTACGAACAACCTACAGTTCTACAACACACTTTACGAGCACGTGGAGCTCTTCATCAAGTTCATCAACGACAAATCGAAATTCGCCAAATTCTTCGACTTCTACCAGAAAATGAAGGCCAAGGCGTCACTGAACTCAAATAACAACATCGACTTCGAGGAGTTTCTGAAACCAATCAAACGATTTCTACCGGCATTGGCCGTGGTAGACGGGTTCCAAGACCTGGATTCGAAGGAGAATTTCATTGATTCAATCAACAAAAACGAGAAGATTTCTACTGAGAGTGCCAACTCAATCGAGGTGTTCAGGAATCTCCTCTACAACACCTCATTCAAACTGACCAGCGTATTCATTGATCTGTTCAACAGCCAGACGTATTTCTACAAGAACCTGATCTACCAATTGCTCTCAAATCTACGTGAATTTGATATCACCACATTTGAGTTTCTGATTCAGAATGAGACATTCAACCAGGTTGGATTCATCAAAATCAGGCGATATCTCGATCAGCTGGCCTCCGGTGACATCGACGACTCCAATGCTGCCCAGGAATACGTTGAAATGCTCCTTGACAAAATGGATCACGAAATAGCCCGAAAGAGTCTCCTACGAGAAAGACGATACATCAACTCAAATCCAGTGATCCACGACAAAATCAACAACCGAATTGTGTTTCTACTGAATTCAGCTGGAAACAAGCGACTCTGCTACTACCTGCTTGAGTATCTGATGTACAACAACATCAAATACAAGAACAACAAGGTCGTCTTAGACTGCTACATCAGTTCAATGTACACAATTCCAAACAGCCTGAATCTGATCCAATTCTACTACGCCAATTTGAGCCGGGAAGAACGAGAATACGTCCATAACAACAATCCGTACTACGAAAACAGGGAAAGAAGGATTCTTGAGATCGATGAGGAGTCGTCTCTCACTCAGCTGACTGATGAGGGCGATCCAGCACCAATTGACGTATCAAGCGTACGAACAGTCCGATACAGACCAACAAATGGCGTCCTGATAACTGGCCACGAGTATCTGGGGATGTTCAACACGGTCTGTGAGACTGATTCAGCCGTTGATCTGTACGATCCTGATCTATCAAAAAAGATATCAAAAATCACCTACAAATTCACCCAGGATAGCAGGAATGAAACAAGCAGATTCAGAAATATTGAAATTGAACCAGAACCAGCTGATCCAGTCAGAGAGAGGCTGGTTGAGACCGATTCCCACGATGAGAAAGAGGCCTCTTTCAGCCTGGCTCAAATCAACTACCTTCTTCTGAACAACAGCACCAAAAATGCACAGCAACTTGGTCGATTTCTGTCGATGGCAGCTGGCAAACTGGATGAGTGCGACACAAACATGCTTCTGGCTGTCTTCAAGGTGCTTCTAGGCCACCACGACATCAAAATCGACTCATTTGAGCTGCTGTTGGAGAAGCACCCTGATCAAATTGTGAGACTGGTTGCAACCACCCCAATTCAGAATGAGTCAGTTCGTAATCAAATGTACAAGATGCTCTACTACATGAAAGAGGAGGATGCGTTGGAACTGGTCTCTCAGACTGCGTCCAAGGGGGGCAGTGGGCTGGCCACTGCCCTCTACAGCCACCTCTTCGTGCTCCATCCCCATTTGGCTGAGAAATGCGCCCGTGAATTTGTGAAAGTGGTAGCCTGGGGAGAAACAGCCCTGGTGGAGCAGCTCGTTGAATCACGCGACAAATTCGACTTCGATTTCAGCTCAATGGAGCAACGAGACGTGGAGGTGTTTCTGGCCTACGTTCTGGCAAAGAAGAAGATCAGGCTGGGAGTTGCAATCAGAAAACACGCCGAAAGAAGTGGAATTGAGAAGACGGGTGCAATCTGGTTCTACTACGACATTCTTAGGAAGATTGAGAAGTTCTACGGAATCAGACTGATATTCGAATTGGTTCTCTTTAAGGACGATCTGTACAACTACTACTTACTGGTTGATGACAAGAAGATGTTTTATGGCCTGGTGAAACATACAGCAAACCTGAGAGAGGTGAAGTGCATAGCAAGCAACTACGTCCGTAGGGAGACAAACCAGGCGTATCTGCTGCTGAGAGAGGTGATTGGGAAGATCACAAGCAGGCTGTGCTCCTACACGAAGAGAGACTTCAGCACCCTCAAAATCATGTCGTATGACATTCTGAGGCGGCTGTACAAGAACGACCTGAGAGAGGACGAGTACATCAGCACAATGGTGGAGAAGTGTGCCCTTGGAAACGTATTCAACATGCACGGAGACTGCATCCACGGGGGAGCAACAAAATACGAAATAGAGAAGCATGGTATCTTATGCAAATATACAAATACAGTTCCACTCTACACGTTCAGGATGGCATGCGAGAACAACTTCATTACGAACTACGTGAACTACGCGAGTGGGATATCACTCGATGAGCCACTTCTTGGGATGATTGCTGAGTTACCAAAATCAACCCTATTTCAGAGGATTACTCTTATGATTGGATTCATGGGAGAAATGGCAGAGGCAAAGAAGATCAAGGATGAGTTCATCAACGGCAGATTCAAAATGTGGATGAACAGGTATCCAATCAAGGAGTTCATTCTCTACAACAAGTGGCGCACATTCATCTTTAACAGTCATTCAAACAACAAGGTGAATAGTCTGATATGCAAGATAAAGTGTCTATACGCCCAGAGACTGATGGATAGTGGGCTATATAGGCAGGCACAGATCATTCTGAATGAGATCAACAAACTGTCTTCGATTGAATTGAATCAGAATCTCCATAAGACGATGCTGGACATCAAGTGCTGTGAGATGCTGGGTGAGAAGGAGACTGCCGTAGAAATAATCAACTCAATGAATGTGTCAAGATACACGAATGAGGACAAATCACGGCTCTATTTCCTGAAATATCGAAATAGCGGTGACGAATACTTCTACAACCTGAGCAAATCACTCTACTGCTCTGAGGATCACAAGAAGAAGGAGTTGGATGAGATAGAGAGAATTGTTACTGGTAGAGAGGACGTATCTGATGAGTACAAGAAGGAATATCGGAAGAGACTGCTTGATTTGATAAACAGCACCACGATAAAAAAGAGTAGGCCGTACATTGTGAAACTGCTGAATGAGACGAAGAATGATCCAAATCCAGTTGGACAGCTCTATGGGGCAGTCACAAACAAGGAGAAACTCCACTGGTTCAGAGAAGACAAGAATGAGTGTATTGATGACTTGATCAATGATAAAATAATGTACAATTCAAAGAGTATGCCAAATGAGTATGAGAGACTGAGGAGTGATTATGGTACAATTGCAGAGATACATACTTATAGGAGGATATCAGAGACAGAATTCAGGGTGATTCAGACGAATGGAATGAGAAGGGTGATCAGAATTGTGAAGACTGAGGAAGAGAAGAAGAAGGATGAGATGGTCAGGCAGCTTCGGGACGAGGATGGAACTCTGAAGGTCACGGCTGAGGAGAGAGAGCAGTTGACTAGGCGGATTGTGGAATTGAACAGGGAGATAACTGAGATGAATACAAGGGGAATTCTGAAGGTGATGGAGATTATTGGGGAGGAGATCAGTCCAAAGAGGCCGTTGAATTTGCCGATTAATTCGATATTGATTGGAGAGAGGCAGTTTGGGCCACTGGAAAACATGTACAAGGTGAATGACATCAATGAGTGGTATGTGACCAAAATGACTGTGATCGATGAGTACACGAAGATGGTGGCATGTTTCTTGTACTGCAATTGTAGGGCAGATGTGGTTGAATTTGATGGATTTGGGTATCCATTTCTGGTTTCATTGGTGAACAAGAAGACACTGCCACTTTTGAGCAAGAAGATTCAGGATGTGTTTGGAATGGAGGGAATCAATGGGCCATTTATAGCTGAATTGTGCAAATACAGGAGCAAATTGGAGGAATCAGACGTGGGATTATACGCAGATTACTTCAATGTGAAAGGTGGATTATATGATAAGGAAATAGAAAAGATACTGAATGCTGAATAGTATGAGAGGTTAAATGAGTTAGACTATATCACTTCTTTACTATACAGACTTCTTATATTCAATACCTGGGGAGAATTACCGTTAAAGATTAATGGAAGTGGTAGGACACGTAGCTCTTTTACCACTGTTACCATAACGGTTAAATTGTATTCAACTACTAGATTAGATGTAACACAGACAGTTATGTCAACACATTCCACAGCCATCTTCTTTCCAATAACATACGTATCTTCTATTTTTGTTGTTCTTACTCATTCTTCTAAATCAGGGTTATGTTATTTTATGCACAGTGTTTATTTACTATTGCTTTAAATAAATTCAAAATAAACAACCCATGGTTAAGGAACTACCACCGCGCAAGCACAACAAGATCGTGACATGGGCCGATCCGATTGCTGAGACCAGGTTGTTTGTGAAAGAACCGTCATCTGAAGACATGCGTGACATACCCGAGGACAGCGAGTATTATGCATATGATGACAGTGAGGAATATGACACAGATGACGTGTTAGAAAATGGAGGGATGAACCAGGGTTCAGGGGTGGCCCAGGTTACTAAGGAAATTGTTCAGGAAGAAGAGGAGCAGAATATTGATCAGGGTATTGATCAGGAGGCAGAAGAGGCATTTAATGAGAGCAATCTTGCACTCTACTACGTGCTCATAAAAAACAGAGTTCAACTCAAAGTTCTCGAACAGAACCTTGATGAGACCAAAGAGTGTCTCAGAACGGCACTTGTTGCACATGATGAACTAAAAGCAGATATTGATAAGAAGAGCATGTTGCTAAAAGAGTGTACTGCTGAATCAGAGAGAAACAGATTGATGTACGTGAAAGCATATGAAACAGTATCTGAACTTACGAAATACATTCAGGTGAGAGAGCTGGCCAAAGCCGAGGACAGGGTGAATCCCGGCATGTCAAATGAGCCAGTGACTCCTCCTAAGAAAAGTATGTCAGAAAGAACAAAAAAGAAGATCAAATATTACATCACAAAGGCGATTAAGAAATGTGGTACAAAACCAGTCCGTGTTACCATTCATAGGCGAAATAAGGCGCCTTGTGTGCTGATGCTAACACGAAATGAAGAAAACAAGATACANGATTGATGTACGTGAAAGCATATGAAACAGTATCTGAACTTACGAAATACATTCAGGTGAGAGAGCTGGCCAAAGCCGAGGACAGGGTGAATCCCGGCATGTCAAATGAGCCAGTGACTCCTCCTAAGAAAAGTATGTCAGAAAGAACAAAAAAGAAGATCAAATATTACATCACAAAGGCGATTAAGAAATGTGGTACAAAACCAGTCCGTGTTACCATTCATAGGCGAAATAAGGCGCCTTGTGTGCTGATGCTAACACGAAATGAAGAAAACAAGATACAAACGCAGGTGATACAAACATGTTGAACACATTGATCACATCCCCAAATATCCTCCAACACCTCTCTATTCCATTAAACTGTCCAGATTTATCTAAAATATTTTGATTATTACTTGAATATTTCATCCGTTTACTTAATTATACTTGCAATAATATTTTATTTACAATTTATCCACAGAAGTCTCCTAAAATGCATCCAAAGTATCTTCTAAACCACGACCTATTTTCTGGATGTGGTACTCTCTGAGATCTATCCAAAATATTCTCTGATATTATGTTACCATCTGGTGAAGTAATTACTATTTTCCTAGTCTTATTCTCTACTGCCCATGTTTTGATATGAGTCTCTTTTGATTGTTTGATTATTTCATTCTCACCAGACATTCTCTCTGATCCAACATATGAAGATGACTCTGTATTTTGATCAATGGATTTGTTGCCCCCATTCAAATCCATTGATTCCTTCACTGTTTCTGGTTTATCACCTGATACATCCCCCTTTGTATCAAATGATTCCACAACAGTCGTATTATCAATATTAAATACTTTGTCAAATTCAGTTGCCGAATATGAATTTGATTCGTGTTCTGAGACACATTTCAATTCAACTTGTTCAGGTTCCATCACATTTTCAACAGTGATTGTTTCACAGCTTTCATTGGATTTGTTACTGTCGCCCATTACAGTAACATTCTTAACAGCCGTTACGATTTCACTAATTCCACTACCATCAGAAATAGCAAATTGAATACTGCTACTACCGGATTCAAGAATACTATTCTCTATGTCACTAT